AAAATAAAAAGAGTAACCTATCTATTAATAAATAGATTAACTGGTTTTGTGGATTGAGGGATGATGGATGAACCATGAAAGCAAAGTTGGACCAAGGAGATGATTTTCCTTGATTGAAATGCTTGATAGTAACTTTTGGCTTTTGATTCTCGAAAATCGAGAAAACTTAGAAGTTTCTATATGGTAAACGAGATTCGAGGGTTGGTTCCCAAGTGGACAGGATCATCACTGACTCCAACCTGAGTAATATTTTCTTAAATTAATCTTAAATCTCTTGATTGAGGTCGACCGACACAACGAGCTTCCACGTGCCAATGTGCGAAAGTTTCGAGACAAAGGTCACATTCTGTGTTCGGTGGAATGTCTAAGGAGGGGTTCCCTTTTGCTCTTGGACCTGAAGGTCGTGCGAATAAATCCGATCCAGTAAAAAAAGAATGTGCTTTGTCAGCCTCTGGTTTTTAACGGCTCAGGGATGAAGCATGGGCCGAAAGTGCATGCACAGGCGACAAATTAAAGAAGAAAAAATTACAAGGAAAGTTGCCGATAAATTAGATGTTGCACATACTTATGTAAACCGGAACATTCAAGGTTTTGGACTAGTTCCAAGAGGCGCAGACTCATCCCGCAAGAGAGTTATTTTCTTCTGGTCAGATCAAGTCGTTGAAGTATTTCAAACTAAGTGCCAATACAGGAAAGTTTGGCACAAAGATAATTCAGTAAAACGACTAAGGACGGGTTCTTTCTTTCCTAAATTCCTGAAGATCAGGCGATAAATTCGAGCCAGTTAATTCCAGTCCTAATAAGAAGGAAAATGATTATGGCAGGACACGTAATTGAAAAAAACTTGTAAAAACAAGAAGCATAAGTCGTGAAAGAAAAGTAAGAACAGGCAATAATACTTAAAAGAATCAGTGGGTCTTATGATCCTCAAAAATCACAAGGAAACTTGCAGAATTTTCACCTATGTAAACCGGAACATAAAGGAAATTTCTTGGCTTTGGAATAGTTCCAAGAGTTGTGAACTCATCCTGCAGGAATTATTATCCCCATGGGCCGGTCAATTGTCTGGTTTGTATTACATATGCATAAAAACTCAGTGCATATGCAAGAAAGTTGGACAAAAAGGCTATAAGTTCGATCATTGGAGGTGGTGTTTTGGTGTTAGGTCCTAAAGATCAGGCAATAAATTCGACCCAGTAAGTTCCAGTCTTTAGCAAACTGCGAAAATAGTTCTGCGTAAATAATAAAACTAACTAAAAATAAGAAGCAGGAGCCTTGAACGGGCGACCATGTTTGAAAGCAACTGTGGCTTCTGTTTTTCAAAAATCACGGGGAAACTTTCAGATAAATTGTAAGTTGCAACTTTTCCCTAACCAGGAAACTCCATAGATCTGGAATAGTTCCAAGAGCTGTGGACTCATCCTTCTGGAATTATTATCCCCTTGGCCGGTCAAGCGTCTGTTTTGAATTAGATGTGCATATAAAAGATTTATCAACCACGTAAATAGAAACTGGGCCTTCTGACCCCTCAAAAACCACGTTGATACATAAGTTCGAGTCCTGGAAAACTGGGAAATACTTCTCCTGTGGAGTGACATCGCGATAATCAAACCAAATAAAACAAAGGATCGTGAAAGTAACACAAGTACAGACGACCATGTTTAAAAGAACCTGTGTAGTTGAAAGTCGATAAATTCAATCCAGTGAGTTACTGTCCTGGAAAACTGGAAATTACTTCTCCTGTGGAGTGACAACATGATAATAAAACCAAATAAAAACAAGAAGCATATGCCATGAAAGTAAAGCAAGAACAGGCGACCATATTTGAAAGAAACTGTGGCTTCTGGTCTTCAAAAATTACTGGGAAACTTGCAGGTAAATGCAAACCGAAAAATTCAAAGTTTTGGTATATTTCCAAAATTTGCACTCATTCCACTGGCAGATTAAACATCAGGTCGAATTATGCAAAACTCGGTGCCACTTCAAGAAAATTCGGCAAAAAGGCTAAGGTATAAATTCGATCCAGTAAGTTCCAGTTTAAGATAACGGAGATAATGTTTCTCCTCATACACAATAATAAAACAATATAAAAATAAGAAGCATGAGTCATGAAAGGAAAGCAAGAACAGGCCATTATGTTTTAAAAAGTTATGCAGCTAAAGGTCAGGTAATAAATTCGATTCTGTGAGTTCCAGTCCTAGATACGAACATAAATCTCCTAAGAGCATAATGAGGCAATAATAAAACAAAATAAAAACAAGAAGCATGAAAGAAAAGCAAAAAAAAGTAGCCATGATTGTACTAAAATCTGTAGTTGATGGTCAGGCCATAAATTCGATCTTGTGTCAGTCCTAGAAAACTATGAAAACTGGAGAATGATAACGCAATAATAAAATTAAATAAAAACAATCTATATTATATATAAGTAAATAAAATAATTCTAAGGTAATTAAAAAAGGGGGTTTTATTGGTAAGAAGATATGTAAGAATTAAATGATGTTACAACAAGAAAATCAACTACTTTGTGCATGTACCACAGTGGAAATTAATTAAATAAATATTGGTAATCACATCATCAGCCATTTTTGTGGATAATCTATCAATAAAGAGGCAACTTTTCACTCCCTTTCTCCCCAAGATTGAACTTACGCTGAATCGATTTTTAAGTTCGTCATCAACACATCGGACAATCGTCAACCACGTGGAGGGTTAAAAAACTTTTAAAATTAATTTCGTCTGACATGTGGTTAGATAGAAACCTATAAATGTCTTCTAGGCTGGAAACACAATTTAGGATTTAGGACACTGCACGCACTCTTAAGTTTGGATAGGCTTCTTCTGTTAGTTAAATGAAAATTTATGTACTACAGAGGAGACAGTTAATGCCAAAAAGCGGTCTTCAACAAAATGACTAAAATCAGATATAACTTTTTCCCTATATTTGCATATTCCAATAAATTACTAAATACTGAATACAAAACATTATTAAGTGTACAATGTATATATCACTATATCACAATATGATACAATAAGTTTAAAATGATAATTTGGAGGTTGTGATATGCGGTTTTGTGTGATTTAGATTTAGAAAACCATTTTCTTTATTGTGCCAACGTTTCGAACTTTATTTAGATCATCTTCAGAGCTCAAATTGAGTGTTTTGTACGTAGATGTGTCACGGTTGGGTATCGTGTTGAGTGTTGATGACGACACACAACCATGACACATGTACGTACAAAACACACAATTTGAGCCCTGAAGATGATCTAAATAAAGGTCGAAACGTTCACACTACAGAGAAAATGGTTTTCTAAATCTACATCACACAAGACCTCATTTAACCACCAATAATCATTAATTAAGGGTCACTAAATATTATTAAGTTAGAAGACGAGGAACTTAAGAAAATATATTTTGTATTTGCTCATGAGACGAGGTCCCATGATGGTGACCAGTCATCCCCTGAAGTTATGACGTGTCGCTCAAATTGTGATCTCTGTTTCACGAATAAAGAAGAGTTATTAAGTATGTGCTCCCATGTTTGTTCAGGTTTTTTTGCGACATGTAAGGTCGTCTATAATATGGAATCAATGTAAGCTCAGTTTTTCCTATGACCTGTCAGTACTTGAGTGGCTTTATAAGTTAGCTTTAACTCATATTTCATACGACCCGCTACCGTCGGAATTTGGATGCGCTTTCCTTCAGATACTGCCGCCCAACTTTTTTCCAATAGTTTCAAGCTATAATCCCTTGTCTTAGCCTGTACGTAAAAGTTCTTAGTAGAAGATTGTTTCTTCTGATCTATTTGTTGATTGTTGCTTTTCAGCTTCATGTTTCCACAATGATCTTTCCGTTTAAAACGAACCATCCCTAAACAGGCAAAAATAATAATCTTCTCGAAGTATGAGGACTAGGGATGGCAGCGATATATCATATATTTCTACATATATCGAGTATATTTTTTATCGATATATTTGTGTGTAAATACTTGAAATATATCCATATATTCGTCGAAATGAATCAATATATTCATTTTTTATTTAAGAAAAAAATAATATACAAAAACTTCATTATACATTTTTCTTATTTATTATTGGATAAATAATTTTAAAAAATCCCTGACAGTGCGTCAAATTGGATTAGAAAATGCCGTCTGGTATGAGACATCGATATATATATGTATATAATTTTAATTGTATCTAAATGTGATCGGCATCGGTATCTTTAACTAAGTTTCTGCGCATAATTTTCAAATAGGTTTTTATGATGGCATCTTCCCCAGGAAAAAGTAAAAAAAGTGTTGTTTAGAAATATTTTAATGCACCGAAAAAAGGAAAACAAGTTGCAACTTGTAAAACTCTACAGTCTTAAAAACCATAATTTTCATAACTTTAAACTATTTTGTTTTATATCTTTTTTCATTACTACTTAATAAGAATTATATCATTATTCATGACCAGAGTATACTTGTACCGTTATTAATATCGTTCTTTTCTTCCAATTGGGCTAGCTCATATGGATATTATACAATAGTCGTAATGTACCTAAAATTAAATATATCAATTTATCGATATATTTGTCACAATACATCGGTAAGCCAATATATATTTTTCGATATGTCGGAAAACCGATATATCGATATATAGATTAAAGATTGCCCTCCCTAATGAGGCCTATGAGGAAAAAATAATATGTAAGTGATGAAGGGAAGACAGGAGAGGGGAAAGAAAGGAGAATGAGGCTTACAAAGAGAAAAAGAGAGAGAAATCTATTATTGGAAAGACCGGTGGTGGTGGCAATTTATTCTTAGAAGCTCGCTGGCCGGAGACCCAAATATGGCAATGCCTCTGCGTAGAGTAGTAGCAATTCCGCAGTCAAAGCGATAACTTCCATTTATTCGCCAGAAATGAATCAAAAGTCAATTAAAAAGAAATCAAATAAAAAGGCCGTCGGATGGGTTGAAATGTGTAAATATTCGAATTAGAGAGGGAAAGTGTTGATCCGAGAGGGCCGCCAGATGGCGACGGAAAAGCCTGAGCTAGAGGATAAAGACGCTAGGTCGCGTGCCGATCCTTGCGATCCGCTCCCCGTCACCAGTCTGCAAGATGGCGGGCGGCTGACGACGTCTGGAGACGGCGATTCGGAGATGGAAGGCGACAACGAGAACGGCAGGTCGAAGAAAGGGGCCAGCCCCGAAGAACGGACGAGGATAAGACGCCGCCTATCATCGAAACTTTACAAAGGATCGTCACCGACATCGGACTCGGACATCGCCCGGCTTGAACGTCAACAGGAGGAGCAGCAGCAACGGGAGCAACTCGTCGAAAAACGATCGTCAGGCGACGGCAGCAGCAAGAGCGACGACGAAGAAGCTGAAGAACTCGCCCGGTTGCGTTGTACCAGTCTTTCGACGGAGGTGGTCGCCGAACGTGAACAGCGTAGGCGCGAGCGGCAAAGGAGGTGTCCAGATTATCCCGGCCTTTCTTTCGGTTCTTCGGTCTACAGTTCAGACACGCTCATGAAACTGAGCCTCATCAAAAACGAACTGCACAACATCCTTAACTCGCAGCTAAAAAGGGTCAGTAACTTCTGTGATAACTCTTTACAAATTATAACCACTTTGTTTACCTTACGGGCGATCAGCTGGCGCTCCATGTAACAGGTGGTTCTTTCTATGCGCACCCTGATAAGACAGTAAAAAAAAACAGCAAAAACAAACAAATGACGTCATTTTATTTATTTTTCCGAAAGGCATCATTGCTACAATTATTTAAAGAAAAACGAAAATTCTCTTTTTCTTCATTATTCCACTCGGGGAAAGCGGGTCGACGAAATTAGAACAAAGGCAAATTACATATGCGTCATTTACATCAAGATCATTAAATTAAGACTGCATTATGCATAAAAATCATTGACCGGTGTTTTCTGGAACAATCAATTATCTTTCGGCCAAGCGAAATACAATCGAAACTTATAAATAATCGTTCCATTCTGATCTTATTTCTTTTACAAAATATTACTTAGTATTTGTAGGGTGGTTTTATTTAGTAATTTATACAAATTATTTATTTAAAAATGACAATGAATTTTTTCCAGGGGATTGACTTTTACCATAATAAATTTCGAAAGTCTGTTTACATTTCCCCTTATCTTGCAAGGTCAGATAATGCAAGGATAATTATCATCCTCATTTAACAAAAAAAATTGGTTATCTATGTTTTTAAATTTTTTTTATAAATAACCAATTAATTTGAAGAAAAAAATGGTTATAACAAAATTGATTGAAAAAACAAGACAGAAAAAGTGACATAAAAAACCCTGGAGACATTTAAGAATTGCCTGTACCAGTTATGATGAATGAATCACTGATTATCATCATTATAGCATAAAGATGATGAAAATTATTATAATGTTAGGTTTATCAAATTAATTCAGCTCTTCAGAAAGTAAATTCGTCTTTTTGCACATCAAATTCACCCTTTTGCAAATTAAATTCATAAATTTATAAAGGAAATTCATCCTTTTGCAAATTAAATTCATAATAAACTATATTCACTCATTGCCAATAAAATTCACCCTTTGGAAATTTAAATTAATCCTTTTGTAAACATAATTCACCATTTTGTAAATTAAATTCATCCATTTATAAACTAAATTCACTCTTTTGCAAATTAAATTCATCCTTCCCAAATTAAATGCATCCTTTTGTAAATTAAATTCACTCTTTTTCAAATCAAATTTACGTTTTTGCCAATAAAATTCAGCCTTTTGCAAAGTGAATTCATCGTTTTTCCAATGAAATTCACTCTTTGCCAATAAAATTCACCCTTTGGCAAATTAAATTCATTCTTTTGTAAACAAAATTCACCCTTTTGCAAATTAAATTCATCCATTTATAAACGAAATTCACTTTTTACCAATAAAATTCACCCTTTGGCAAATTAAATTCATGCTTTTGTAAACAAAATTCACCCTTTTGCAAATTAAATTCCTCAATTTGTAAACGAAATTCACTCTTTTACAAATTAAATTCATCCTTCCCAAATTAAATGCATCCTTTTGTAAATGAAATTAACTCTTTTTCAAATCAAATTTACTTCTTTGCCAATAAAATTCAGCCTTTCGCAAAGTGAATTCATCGTTTTACCAATGAAATTCACTCCTTTTCAAATAAAATTCACTCTTTGCCAAAAATTCACCCTTTGGAAAATTAAATTCATCCTTTTGTAAACAAAATTCACCCTTTTGCCAATTAAATTCATCAATTTTTAAACGAAATTCACTCTTTTGCAAATTAAATTCATCCTTCCCAAATTAAATGCATCCTTTTGTAAACAAAATTCACCCTTTCGCAAATTAAATTCGTGCTTTTGTAAACAAAATTCACCCTTTTGCAAATTAAATTCTTCAATTTGTAAACGACATTAACTCTTTGCCAATAAAATTCACCCTTTGGCAAATTAAATTCGTGCTTTAGTAAACAAAATTCACCTTTTTGCAAATTAAATTATTCAATTTGTAAACGACATTCACTCTTTGCCAATAAAATACCTTTGGCAAATTAAATTCGTGCTTTTGTAAACAAAATTCACCCTTTGCAAATTAAATTCATCCTTTTGTAAATGCAATTCACTCGTTTTCATCAAATCAAATTTACCCTATTGCTAATTAATTTCACTCTTTTGCCAATAAAATTCACCATTTTGATACAAAATTGATTTTCAAAAGGGTGAATTAAATTAATAAATAGTAATATTGATTTACAAAAGGGAGTATTTATGTCGCAAATCGGGATTTTTAAAAGAGTGAATTTAATTTTAAAAAACTACATTTCGCAGACTTTTTTGTACCAAATTTTTTCCACATTTCAACTCCATTGTTCAACTAAAACAATGGGATGAATTAAAATCAAAATAGCGGTTGCTATTTTAGGTTACAATGTCAATTTTTACTTATTTTCTTTCCTTACTAAAAGTAAATACCAATATGGAAGTTTTCCATTATTTTTTTGGCCTACTTTTGGTTTTCGAAACTCTTTATTTATGTAAGATCATTTAATAATATTCTGCTTGTTTGTCGAGGGTAAAAAATAAAATAAAAAAAATGTTCAAAAAATTGTATAAACAGGATTTTTGTCTGAAATTAAGGTCTTTGTTTCGTGAAAAGCTCAATACTAAGTACAAATGTAAACGGAATTATCTACTGATCAATTTTTATCTCCTTTAGATTAAACGATCGCTTAAGCTCCTTTACATTTTTCTACAAAAGAAATTTATTGGATAAAGAGAAATTTCGTATCGCGAGATAACGTCCAGATAAGTTAAAGATGTCAGATGTATTTATAGTAGGATCTCTTGTTTTTCTGGCCGACTTTGTCTTTACTGTTTCTTTTTTAATTTACATTCGTTTCAAAAATGAAACTCGTCGTTTACCATGGCAAAAATCCTATTCAAAAAGGCTATATGAAGAAATGTACCGAAGTCATCTTTGATTTATAAGTCTAATTTAAAATTTTCTGCTGGCTATTTCCATTTTTCTTTAAGAATTTATAGCAGATATTTTTATCGTAATATATATTAATATGTAATTATGTTTATTTTTAACTTCTCAAATCTTGTTAAAGTGTTGAATTAGAACATTTTGAAACGTGATAGTACCTAATGTATTGAATCAGAAGTTTTTGACATCGCATGATGTACATTACTTTTTCTTTTCCTTTGATTTGAGGAAGTATTGTCCTGGGGACTTTCTTGACGTAAGACGTGCTTTTGGTCGAGTTTGGTCTTACTGCCCTACCCTATTATAATCATGCTGGTGTTCCTCATGGTAGCGTTTTGCCTCCGATACTTTACCAGGTGTACACATCTGACGTCAGCACTTCATTCAAAACCTCATAAAATCGATGCCACGGCGAATGCAAGCGGTGATCAACGCAATAAGAAGAAATAGTCCGTAGTGAACTGATTATTTCTTCATCGTTTCCATAGCAACATTTTTGATCAGATTGTTTAACTCTGATTAATTTTTTAATTAGCTATTAAAAATATCCATTAAACATCTAGAAATAAAAAATATAACGATTGTAAATATTTACGTGTAGAAATGTGTGGTGATTAGTGACCGTTTGTCGATATTTATTCAGAAATCGTGAGATGCGGTCTGGTGTGACGTAGATTTTAGAAAAACATTTTCTTTATCGTGCCAACGTTTCGATTTTTATTGAGATCATCTTCAGGGGCTGGGATTTACAAACATTGTTTAAATTTAACAAAAACATGTAGGATGTGGAAAAAAGTGAATTTATACAATGGAAAAAATATATTTTTTTAAATTATATTTAATCAAAGTATTTCTACTCAATCAAAATTTTTGTTTTGAGACAAACACTTTGAAGGAGTAGAAATACTTTGATTGAATATGTGTGTGTNAGATGCGGTCGGGTGTGATGTAGGTTTCAGAAAAACATTTTCTTTATCGTGCCAACGTTTCGATCTTTTATTGAGATCATCTTCAGGGCCTGGGATTGTTGTTTTTGAACATTGTGAAAATGTTTTTCTGAAACCTTCATCACACCAGACCGCATATCACGATTTCTGAACAAATAAAGTAAATATTTACTAAAATAAATGAGAATGGCCTCTCTTTTGCCTCTCGGTGTTGGTAGCTTCCTTCCTCTACGGCATCCATTTTGAGGTCACATTGAGGTGACACATGTGTGTATTGACTGTGCATCTGAGTACTCTTTTCTGAAATAGTTGTGTGATTTGTTGGGTTGCTAGTCCTACAGCTGTATGCAATGGACCTGTTGGTTAACTAAGGGTTAACTTTCAATGCGTAATGAAGAGGTGATCATTAACCAGTACTTTTTTCGGTGTTTGATATTGAGCTAAGCTTCTGAATTTGTTACAAGGTCTTAATATCACGCTTAGTTATTATGCCATCTTTTAACAGTTGAACGTTTGTCGATTGAGGGGTCAAATAAATTAATTGGTAGTGGTAGTTAAAAGATGTATGAAATGTTTAAACTGGTTGATGCGTCCTTTTGTCGTAAGGAATCTTTTTTTTTCTTTTGTTTTGTGAGTTGCTTTTATTATATTTTTCCACGACATGTTTAGTCTGTATAAGAGAAAAGAAGTGATGTATCTGTTTTCAATAGGAACTTGACAAATGTATGCGAGCCTTTTCAGAGAGTAGTTTTGGAATATCAATCGGACTACTTTACATTTTCGGAGCACGATTGTTTGCCAACGCTAATGGGGCTCAATCGATGTCGTGTCGAAACTGTCAAGACGACTAATGAAGCCGGGCTCTGGTCTGATTCAAAACAGACACAAGACGAAAAGAGCCTTGTTTTAACAAATTTTTGATAGATTTAGAGAGATTTCTGAGTGGTCTGTGGGGTTGATGAACCTTTGGTCCTGACTGGTCTGGTCTGACAGACTCGTTTCGCCATCTTCACCGGTTGGATTGGGTGTTTTTTCCTTATTTTAGGGGTATATATAGCAGTGTAAAAACACAACCAGGCTGACCAAAAATGATCGAAAAAGACCAACCTTCAATTTTCCTGGTTTGCTTATT